CTCCCGGGACTGGTATCAAAGAGACAAGTCCGACAGTAATTGTTTGCTCTACTCTGCTCTGCCTAACGCACACTTTGTAGATTTAAATTGGAGCGCACGTTCATTCGAGACCCACACGCTGCCATCTTTGATGCCGATTTGAGTAAGTTGTTGTGCCTATTGTAACGCCTGCGTGTAGTCCTTGTCGTCGTCGACGCCTCGAACAAGTACTCGAGGGAGGCACTTGACCCAGAAGTCCTCAAAACCCTCCACTTTTTCTCGACAAAGGAGTCTGTTCTCGTTTTGAACAAGGTGCGTTTCTTTGTAATCTAGCCTTTGCGATCACAGCATAGTCGCTTGGCGTCGCTGCGTGCACACAAATTACTTTCCTCATTCACGAAATGGATTATTTAAAAAATGGAAATTAGTGTGTTGTCTGTGTTTTCAGGTTGACAAATCTAAGGGTAATCCGACACGCCTGCTTGAGGTAACCCGACGCCTCACAGCCGGCGTCGTAGGTGGCAGGACCTCGCACCTGGACGCCTTTGCGAACAAATTCAATCAGCGAGCCCTCCTCGCCTCCAACGAGGCCTTCCTGAAACACCGACCAACCATCGAGGCCGTCATCTACCCCCGTCTACCCGCGGAGGCTCACGAAGCAGCTGAGAAACGTCTTAGTGAGATTAAGCGTCTCCTTGCCGCCCTTCCACCACCAATTCAAATCGATTCAGGCCCTCGCTTGCCACCTCCGCCTTCTCCTCCTCCTCCACCCACGCCTCCTCCAACGCTTCTTCTCAGGGAGGCGCAACCCGAATTGGAACACACCAGTAAGATCTTGACTCTGCAGTTGGGCTTCGAGGTGGAAGCTATTTTGACTACGCTTGAATGCCAGTTGATATTATTACGTTATTTGCTAATAGGAATGCCTGCCTGACTTGTGAACCAACCAAAATCAGTTTCACTGCAGCTTAGAACCTTGACGGCCCCTCAATGATTTGCTTACTTGGCATATGTGTGGTTAGTTGGTGGTCATTAAAACGCAAATTTGATTGCACAGCGCCCTGCTATTTCACTAAAAGGGGACCATTGTTGGGTCAGGTGACACACAGGTGTCACGGCTTGATTCACGCAGCCGTCCAATCCGGTGGCAGGAGGTTTTGGCGGTAAACGTGGACCGATTCGCGCCACACAGACATCTGCGGAAGTCACAGACGCACAGGGGAGCAATTGTACAACCTGGTGGATGTCCAGACGATGGGGACACTGGAAAACGAGGATCTGGCCGGACGCCCGAGTGAATGAGGGTCGAATTATTGGGGTGTCCGGACAGAAGTCGATAGACGTGATGGACGTGGATCTGTACGAAAATAGTCAACAAACTTTTTCATTCGGTGAGGGGTTTGTCGTAGGTGACACGAGCCGTCGTTGACAGATGCCCGAATCCAGTGGTTATTGTGGTGTAGAATACCGGAGCCCTAATAGGAAAAAGATTGGTACAACAGAACAGACTTTATTGACCGATCACAAGCCAGAACCACAAGCCAGGTGCCTTCCATCCCAGTCCACGCTGTCCACGCCGCTCATTATATACTGCACTTCACTCGTGTCCTTCTCTGGTTGGCTACTTATCTTCCTCACATACCATTGGAACGCAGAGAGACATAGGATTGGCCGAGGCCAGCGTAGTCCAATATGTCTGCGCCCTCAGACGTCGCCACTGTAGAATACCCGAGCCCTAATAGGTAAAAGACGGGTACAACAGAACAGGCTTTATTGACCAATCAGAAGCCAG